GAGTCCGCGCGCCTTTCGTCGAATCGAGAGCCGAAGTCGATTCGTGTCCAGCGACGCTCGGGTTTTTGCATTCATCCCCGTCGGGGGTTTGGAATCCGAGGCGAGGACTGCTCTTCGGATCCGGCGCTCTCCGGCCGCGCGTCCTTCGAATTTTTTTGCCCGGGGACAGGCCACGGCGTGCAGAGGACGGCCTTTATCTCTGCGGCTCGTGGCTCTTCGCTCGAAACACCGCTGATTCCCCCGCACACCGCACATTCCGCCCGGGAAAACGTTCGCGAGAGGCTAATCTAGAAAATGGGATGAAAGGCGATTTTCTGCTTCGAAAGGGAAGACGAACGGAGCCGAGGATCATCCGAAACAAACGAATCTCCGCGTTTGTCGGGGCCCCCGGTCTTTTGTTACCGGTTTATTCGGTTAGCTAATGAGGATGAACGTTAACCTATATTAAGCTAATCCATCCTTCAAAAGCAGTTCCTCGTGGCGTGGTCCCCGTCATTGGGTCTCGTCCCGACTCGACCTCCGACGACGACTACTCGGACGGGCCCCGAATCCTTCGAGCCACCTGCCGACGCGAATCTTTCCTCGACGGCCGAAGCAAGATGGTCGACGGTGGTCGATCTCGCGAGAGTTCTCGCCACCACCCTTCCTTCGATCCATCAAGGGAGGAACCACGGACGAAAGGTCGAACCGATAGTCGTGACATCCGGTAAGTCACGAGCATCGCGCGTGCAAGCGTTTAGCGGTTCGCGGGCCGAAGCTCGGGACCCAGCACGCACGGGAGACAAAATATGCGGGGTGGTCCGGTCGAGTTTGCGGCGGGCCACAGGCCGCAACTTCATTTACACCTATTCAGCCTCCTTCCTTCCGAACACGGCCTTTAGATTTACGAGCTATCTCGCTCTCACCTCGCCTTGCCTCACCTCGCCGAGCCGTTCCTCTCCGCGCCGCACTCCGCCGCTCGCACCCTGCCTCGCTTCGTCTCGTTTCGCCGCGCCTCTTCCACCATCTTCTTCTGTTCGCCGCCCCACCTCCTCGACCCTCGATCGGCACCGAACCCCGGCGCGTTAGATCGCGACGCTTCCGACCTTTCCGTCCGAGCTATACCGCCAAAGAGACCGCGCGATCTAACCCCACCGGATCCGTTCCACCCCCTGCATCGCGGACTCGCGGCGCACCGATGTCGGTCTAAATCCGTGCGGCCGGTTATCGATAAGCCATTGATTTACGGATCTACCGGTCGAAAGGGTATCCGGACTAAAAGCCACGCGCCAGATCCTCCGAGCGAATAGCTGCGCTTATTTTTACCCCCGTAACTGCGGCGCGTGGTGCACGCGTCTCGGCCACGCGGCTTATTTTCGTCGAGGAGCGTTCCGCTCGCGGGACGAGCGTTCGATCGCGTGGCCAACGGCTGCGGGAAAAACGCGGCCTCGCGCGACACCGCCGCTGCAACTCGTCGACATTAAGTCATTACCGTAAGCGTCGAGCCGCGCGGGCAATCGGCGCGGACAGTCCGTCACGCGAAAGCGGGGCCTCGCCGAGAGCGATTCCGCTCGCTAACAGCTTATTCGCCCCGTGACTCGGCCGCGATTATTTCAACGCGAGAAGAAACGCGACCAGCACGCCCGCGGCTGCACACTCGCGAGCGTTAGCCGCAATTAGAGTCGGATCGCGACCTTCGCGGCGACTGCGGCTTTTCCACCGGGGCCCGTGGGCCCGATGGACGGCCGGGACGCAACGGAGACCGTAGATCGATGGAGATCGCGGAACGAAATGGCGAACGGTCGTAGATCGCGCGCACGGGCTGCCCTTTTTCTGCGCTTCTGGTCGCGATCGCGGTGCATCGGCGGTCTCGAGCGATGAATTTTCAGCCGTCAGCCGCGCGATCGCGAGCGTAGGAACGCACGGCGGAGGGAAGGCTTCGCTAGTCCCGGAGCGGAGAGCATTCCCATGGTATAATTGCCAGGGATTTTGCCGGCGACAGACTCGGCCTGCCGCGCTGCTCCTTTCCCTCTGCTCGAGTTTCCAGCGCGGCCCGGCGAGGACGCTCTCGAGAGAGCGAGCGGACACGCGTGGACAAAAACGTAATTGCGCTCTCGTCGCCGCTACGATTTACGCCGATCAATCTCCCCGTAACTCTTCGCCGAGATCGCGACCGCTGCGCGCTGACCTCGTTCCCGAATATCCGCCGCGCCGATCTTTTTACGTCGCCCGTAAATTGCCCTTTCTTGCGTCGCCTTCGCCGCGTTCCTCTGCTTCGCGTCCTCCTCCTCCTCCTCCACCTCCTCCTCCGCCTTCGCCTCTTCCTCCTCCTCCTGCGTCGTCTGTTGCTTTCGATCGACCGATCGTCCCCCGACGATCGACGCGGCTCGAGAACTTTCGTTTTCCGATGCACCCATCGCTCGCTAGCCGTGGCGCGGCGCGGCGTTTTCCGCGCGACGATCGCGATGGCGGAATCGGCGAGCGCGAGAGGTCGGAAGGAAAGGAAGAAAGGAAGCGAGGGAAGACGCGAGCGATGGAAAAAGCTCGCGGCCGGCGCGCGGATCCATAGCTACGCGCCGCTTCTCTTCTCGCATTCCGAGCCGCGTTCCCACACACACACGCGCGCACACGCGCGCACGTGTGCACCTCCACCTTTCGATTCGTGCATTCTCGCGACGTCGAACCGAGGGAGACGGAAGCGGGCCGTGAACGGAGACGAACCAGCTGCGTCGCCGGCGTGGCGACGGGAGCGAGCCTCTCGACGGATGAATGAAAAAAGAGGAGAAAGGAGAGACGCCGCGAACGGCTGACGGGGAGAACGAGAGTGAGAGAGCGTCGCGGTGTTCGGAGTCGTGTATCGGGGGGGCGGGTAGCGAAGCGGCTGCGGAACGAGCGACGCGGCTGGAAGGGGAGTGATACGAAGAGAGAGAGAGGGCGATATCTGGGAAGGTTTTCGGAGAGTGGGAGAGCTACGACAAAAGTTCCTTGCGCGATGACCACGAGGACCGTGGTGGGGCAGCCGACAGGCGTGGCCTTGATAAGAACCGCCCGCCATTTCCCCTTGAAAGCCACGTGCTCGTGTACGAGCAGCAGAGAGGAGAGAGACGTCTGCCTGGACCAGCCAACTTCTCTCCTCCGCGGGTTTCACTCGCGATCGAACAACCCTCGGGGAAAAACGGTCGCCGATCTCGCTTTACGATCGACGCACGCTCATGTCTCCAACAGCCGACCGCTCGATTCGCTGCGTCCTTTCGTCCAGTACTCGCGCGTTCGATCGTCGTTGGGGTCGTCGATCGGTATCCTGAGCGATCGCATCGGGCATAATAGCCGCTTTGATCGAAAGACTGGAAGACAGAGGAGAGAGGAAAGGAGAGGAAGCAAAAAAAGAAAAGTCGGAAGCGGCGGAAAATCGTGGAGGAACGAGGAGGTAGAGGAAGGAAGAGGAAGGAGAGAATCGAAGGATCGGAAG